AATCATTTCCCAAAATATATCTAATTTTTACATATATTGACTCATCTTATAAACCCAAAAAGGCTTATTGGCTTTTTAGGCATTTTATAAAGCAGAAGGTCAGTAGGCAAAAAGGTCTTAAAATCAATCATATGTTTTTAATACATAGCTAAGGAAATGAGACTTAGGGAGTTATTCATTTTTTCAAAAAAAACCTTCTTCTTTAGTATCCACAGGGTGCCAGACACTCTTGCACACAGTGGGGATACATACAGCAGTGAACCTGACAGAGAAGGTCTCTTTTATACTTTATTTTTGTCTTTGCGTATCCTGGTATTGTTCCCAAATTTTTTCTATAGTACTAATTTTATTTCATATTCTCTATATTTTGTTTTCTGTATAGTGTCTGTCTGAGTGAACTAGAGAAGAACTCCATGAAAGCAGGTTTATCTGTTTGGCCATTGCTTTATTGAGTATAATACTTAAGATTTAGTGGAGAGTTAATAGATTTTTGCCAAATGAATGAATGAACTGAATTAAATGAGGACCATATGGTATCCTGAAAACCAAAAGAACAGAGTGGTCAATGGTGTCATATGCAGCTCATAGGCCAATGTAAAGGCATGACAATTAGATTTACCGAGAAAAGGCTGTAATGAATGGTTTAAGTGGAGTGGTAGGACAAAAGCCATATTGGAGTAACTCAGAGTCAAGAAAAAAGGAATGGGTGGTAAAAAAGTATAAATACATGTATTTAAGTCATTCAGGGAATTTTGAGAGATAAAGAAATTGAGCTGCATGTAACTAAAAGAAGGCTAGGGAGGGCTTTAAAATGTTTTATAAAATTTCAGATATACTTAGAAGAATGAGCCTCCTTATAACCTACATATTTGTCATTAATATCAAGATTTTGGCATATGTATTTTGAATAACATTTGGCATATGTAATATGAGTAACATTTTTTGCTGTTTCAAAAATACTTTGAAGCAAATTTCAGTCATTTTAGCCGCATATGCACCTAAAAAGAAAGAGAAAACTTTCTTAAGCACCCTGAAGCCATAATCGCACCTGTTAAAATTAACAGTAATTCTTTGATACTATTTATTATTGTTTTTATGAGAGTGCCACCATTTTTAAAATAAAAGTTGTTTGAATTTAGCTCCAGTCAAATTCTAATTCATATTTGATTATTGTGTCTTTTAAGATTCTTTATATCTAAAGAACATCCTTTCCTGTATTGAAGAAACTAGAATAATTGTTTTGTAGACTAGCTTACATTCTTGATTTGTATATTTGCTTTCTCATGGTGTCATTTGTTTCTCTCTTTTCAGAATTATATTTTTAATATTTATTTATTTGGCTGTGTCAGATCTTTGTTGAATTATGTGAAAATCTCATTGTGGCCCATGGATTCTCTTGTTGTGAGATGTGGGCTCGGTAGTTGCAGCATGCAAGCTTAGTTGCTCGATAGCATGTAGAATCCTAGATCCCTGCGAAGGGATCAACCCACATGCCCTGCACTGCAAAATGGATTCTTAACCACTGGACCACCAAGGAGGTCCCTCAGTATTATTTGTTTGATTCAATTTATGTTCAACTATTTGGATATACATCCTCTATAGTTGGTGCCCTCTGCTTCATATTGCATCACGTCTTTGCTTGATTTTCACACTCTTAGTTATGCTAATGTTGATCAGTGAAGTCAGTCGGTGATTCCAGATGCTTCCATTGAAAATTTCCCATTAACCTTTCATTTTATGATTTTATGATCTTTGCCAAAATCAGTATTTCATTTGCTTTACAAAAAGCTAATTTTCTCTTTCTGTCATAAAGGAGGGATCTTTAAAAATGGAAGAAAGTATAACATGTTTTTCTGCTGATAGGCAAGGTCTGATGGGAAAAAATGATGCTAGGAGAAACAGTGGACTTGGGAGTTAAGAGAGATCAGATCCACTGCACAGATTATAGGTTGCCTTAGGTAGGAGCAGGAACAGTTTAAGTGACTTGTCCAAGGTTACAGTAGCACAAAGTGGGTATATTTTATTAAATGTATATCACAATTTTGCTATGACAACTTATAATTGTACCTAATTTTAAAACATGCCTATTCAGTTTATGATATGGCATGTGAAGTAGAAACGAAAAGTCTTTCTGATTTCACTGCCTATGTTTGTCCCTACTTGTAAGAGTTTATCTAATGTATCCCTTAAAAATTTTAAATTAATGGTGTCTCATACACCTCTATCTTTACATTATAGTAAATATAAGCAAATACTTTTATATATTTTTTCCAGATTTTGTTGCTAGTCTAGTCTATTGCAAAGAGAAGTAAATGCTACTGTTAAATAAAATGGTAAATAACTGATAGTTCAGTTTAGACACTAATGGAGCATGAAAGCCTGTAAAATGACAAAAAAAACAGCAACTTTTATTATTTATAGGCTCGTTTTTGTTACACAGTTTGGTCATATACCTGACATTCTTCCTTCTTTGTGACTTTCTCCTAAAAATTACAGTTTTGTGTTACCTAAGTGAAAAGGACATTAGAGTTCAGTGGAAGAATATGACAGCATCTCTTCTGAGGATTACAGCAGTTCCCATTGGGAAAATTGCAATTTCCTTTTTTCTTTCCCTTTTTTTTTTGGTAGTAGTTCTAATGGTAGTGATATCATTCAATCTTGAAAGAATATTTATGGCAACTTTGGACCTATAAACTATTGCCAAATTGTCTCATGCATGCTATGTGAAATTCAGTTTTAGACAATCATATTTCTTTATGGCTCAGTGATTTCCATTTACTACTTGTTAGACTGTAGTCTGAAGAGTATTGGGGTTACTGTGTTGTCTGACACAGTATGTATTCTATTAAATTAGAACTTTAAAAGCAACGTGGATCATGTAGTTCCTTTAGTTACTTAGTACCATGTTTTATTTTTAAGAAATCTCTGTTAAAGCCTCACTGATTTCCTTTTCTGTCTTGGCATCCCCAGAAGAGCACTCTAGTTGTCTCCAAAAGCAGGATTGTAATCTGATCTGTGTTTTGTATTGTCTGCTGACTTAGATGAGAACACTTCACAGGAGCTGCATTGATCAGTTCTCATCCTTTCTAGTCATTTATAGGACAATTAATACAACCTTGTAAAGACTCCCTAGAGTATCCCTAATAAACTAGATCCTTTTACCCAAGAATAGATACAGAGATACATCAAGATACTCAAAGAAGAAAAAGCTGATTAGGAGAAACAGGAAATATTAAGCCTTCAAACTCACAATCTGAATCTGTTTCGGATTGTCTCCCTCCTTACAACTAAAAGATACTGCTTTCTATTGAAATATTTTGTACAAATTAGGAAATGTAGCTTTTCATAAACTTGCATCTTTGTGGTTTAAAACAGGATAATTTAATTCAGGTGTGGTGGTAGTGGTGTAGTTCCTAAGTCATTTCCAACTCTTATGACCCTATGGACTATATATAGCCCACCAGGCTCCTCTGTCCATGGAGCTCTCCAGGCAGGAATATGGAGTGGGTTGCCATTCCCTTCTCCTGGGGATTGTCCCAACCCAGGAATCGAACGCAGGTCTCTTGCATTGTAGGCAGATTCTTTACCAACTAAGTTGCAAGAGAAGCCCCAATTTAGGTGTATATATATAATATTATTCTTTTATTCCTGCTCCCAATTCTTGTGATATGTCTTTTTTCTAAAGGTAAGAGTGATAATCTTTTACTGTTCTTTAAAAAAATGTTAAATGCTAGGGAAATGGTTTATATGGTAATCAATCCTTAAAGCAGTATAAACTCCTTGCAATTTTTTTAATGTGTAATTTCACATTTTTTTTCCTTCAAAATGTACTTTAAAATGTTTTATAGAATGGCTTAGGATTTTGAAACTGTGGTATGAAACGGATATGTGTTAAGTACTTTGGAGTCATATTAGCTCAAAAACAAATATTTTAAAAGATTCTTTTTACTTTTTGATGACTGTTTAGTAAAAGAATACTGATGTCTGAGAAGTAAGTTTATGTGTTTGCTGTATTGAGCTGCTCACTAGAAGATTACAGTTTAAGAACAGGCTGCTGCAGTGAGGCTCAAAATAGTCTGAAAAACTAATCACTTCCTTTTATTGCCTTTATGTATACCTGTATAGTATAAAATAGTCTATAGGATTTGTGCATTAGACCCAACCAATTTCATTTTAGTCTTGTCTCACATCATATGTCTACATTTTATTCACTAGATATGAAGCAAATAAAACTAATGGTATCTTTTATCAATTATTCATCAATTTCAAATGAAAAATAGTTTAAAAGTTTGTTTTTAATTATGATATTCTTATTAAAATTGCATAATCAGTAAAAGCAGGGTTGATTGTTTATCCAATAAATATCTGTTATGTACCTATAATGTGCCAGGGATGCCTCTAGGCTTTAGGGAAGCTACAGCACAATGCAAAACAGACTAACTGTTCTCTGAGAGCTTGCATTCTAATAGAAACAAACAAAAATAAAGAAACAAATAGAAAATGTCAGATAGTGTTATTGCTGTGATTAAAAGAACAGGGTACATGAAGAAAAGGTGGTAAAAATTCAGAAACTTACTTACTTTGTAAGCTTTCCAAGAACCCTTCTCTCCACTAATTTAAATGCTCTTTTTTTTTTAAGTATATACCATCCATGTGTACCATCCATGTAGATAACTTCCATTATTTCTTCATATCATAGTATCTTATAATTCTCTGGTTTGATGTCTGTTAGCATATACACTTTGGAAGTCCTCATCTTTGTGTTACTGGTTTCTATCCTAAGTTCTTTTATAAGTGCTCAGAAAGTATTGGTTATGTCAGTGAATGATGTACTCAAAACTTCTCATGGTTTCTGGTTCTGCTGGCCGTTTTTGAGATTTAGAGTTGTACATTGTACATGATTTTATTGGCCTTAGTATATCATCCTTTTTTATAGTTTTTATGAAAAGCATACAAAGTGAGAGAGGAAATTTTCTGAAACTTAAATCTTTTGTCCACAGGTACTACTGAACGAGTGTGCTTGATCCAGGGAACAGTTGAAGCACTGAATGCAGTTCATGGATTCATTGCAGAAAAAATTCGAGAAATGCCCCAAAATGTGGCCAAGACAGAACCAGTCAGCATTCTACAACCCCAGACCACCGTTAACCCAGATCGCATCAAACAAGTGAGTGTTTAGTTGGGAAATCAAAGACAGATATCCACAGTGTAGTATGAATTCCTTATTAAAGAAGGCTTAAAGGTTTAGCATATAAAGTTCTTCCCTAAGAATACTTAAAACATAACAGTTGTCACTTATTTACTTAAAGATTATCAGCCTCTTCTTTAGATTGATCAGTTTATTTATTGATCAAATTACTCATTTATTAGTGTTACACTGAGGAGCAGTTATAGCTCATTTCTTTTATAGTGCCCCTTTAAAAATTATAGATACAAATTTTATTAATTTATAAGAATTTAACCTATTTAAAATTATATCACTTTTAAAATAAAATATAAAAATTGAGACTACATTCTCAAAATTCCTAATATCATATTCTCAATATTTTTAGTCTCTAGTTACACATAGAAACTCCTGTTTTGTCAATTTAATTGTCATGTTCAATATTTTTTATAGACAAATATGTATAAGTAAATTTTGTACCTAGCAAACAGTTCTTTGTTACAAATCAGCTATTATGTTCTGTATAACTTGTACAGTATTTATATATATGTCATAAAGGGCCATTGTTTATTTTTAATGTGTGGGATTTTCTGTAACAAAACTTTTACTTGATAAAAGACAATGTTAGTTTTTAAGATTGAATAATGACAGACACTATGTAGGAAAAAAATGACATTCTTTAATGTAAAAATAAGGCAGATTCTTCCCCTTAAGCTCTTTTAAATCTTCAAAATTATTTGATACTTTATGTTTATTATGATTGTTTCTGCATTTGCCTTTTTATAGTTAGCTTCTTAATTTGTGATCATATTGATAGCTTTTATGCCTTCAAAAGAAATGTATTATTCATTCATTCACAGAATATTTAATTTACAGAATATTTATGTTCATTGTAATAAATTTGAAATGTAGCTCAAAAACTTATTAATTTCATGTTTCTGAGTTGAAAAAATATACTAGCCAGTGTTAGGAATTTATTATAATTTTCCCAATATATTGATAAATGTAAGGGTGTCTAATCAAATACAAATAGAGAAATTAATCATTATATATTTTCAAATTATAGGACAAGTTTAAGTTTTCCTTTAATACTATTTAAAAAATCCTTCCATGTTTAGATCATGAGTAGGTAGCTTTTACACCATATAAGATCATTCATTTTTATGCTCCTTGTCAGTATCAAAATGTTTCAATTTGTAACCTTTCATAACTTTTCAAGGAAGTGTCTTTTCATTTACACATGGCAGAAGGTAAATATTTTAAACTTCTAAGCATAAGTAGATATTTTTTATTCTTCACAAACATTTATAGTTTCGAAATTTTTATCTATGCTAGGTAAATGCAAAGAATAAGTTAAAACGTGATGCATTGAAAGCAGTACCATGACTTAATCTAAATTTATCTAGATTCTAGAAGTATGAGTTTAAAGACCTCTGAATTAAAATCACCTGGGGCTAAGAATTTACGGAATTGGCACTAAAGTGTAGGGTCTGTTGATTTTCAGCATTAATCCAGCCTATTAATTCTCACATTTCTTTTGTAGTTTCTGTAAGTTTAAACACTTAGGGAAGGCAGTGAATGTATTGATTTTTTTTTTAAAAAAGGTAAAACATGAAATATACTTTGAGTACTGTATAACTGGCAATATATTCAGCACAATGATATGAATGAATTTTTTTTTGTAATAATACTGTCAAATAATGGTCTATGAGTCATTGTGAAAACTGACTTTCTCTGTGGCAAATGAAATTTATAGGTTGTCATCTGTCCAGTGTCAGTACAGATTTATGAAAGCCAGAATTTTAAAATATTTGGTTCATTTCTATTTTTACTTGCTGTGTTCAGATAATGTTATTTGAATTCAAAATAAGTGGTTAAAAAGTAATGGTGATTGATTTAATTTTGCATATTTACATTCATTTCTAAACCTTATAAGATATTCATGAAATTGAAATTATTATTGATTATTTAATATTTTCATGTAATCAATAGTGATGTGAAAGTATTATTTTAAAAGATTCGTTAAAAGAGTACTCTAAATTTAGTAGAGTAATATATTTAATACTTAAACGGTTCCTTAAAAATGTAAAATTTGAAAAATTTACTCAAAAAATCTGGATGAGAGCTTGAGCATATTTCCATGATACTGTAGATCAACAGAGTTATTTATGCTCTAAATTTGAGTCTCTAACTTTCTAGGTAGGTATCCTATTTTACAATGTGAAACTTTTTGTTGGATCATTGTCTAAATAATAAGTCAAAAGAATTGGAAATGACTTAACGACTGAGCAACAACAAATAAATTTAAATTACCACTATTTTATTTCTGGAGAAATTATGCTGGTAATCCAGTATAAAATACTTATATCTAAAAGAAATTATTTTATAATGGAACAGATAAAAGTATATTTTATATAATTCTATATAATTTTTAGCTTTTAGTACATAGACTAATAATAATATTTCTTTTAAAATGATAGTCATTCACCTAACTAACATTTACATTCCCTTTGGACTTCAACTCTGAATTTAATTTTTAAAGTAACTTCTTTAAACATTTTTAAAACACTTTCTTCTAGTTAAGATTATGTAAAGAATAAAATTAGAATTTTAAAAATTGCTAGAGCCAGAAAATGTAGATCCTCATAGAAATGAACTAATATTGGATATGCAATTATATTTTCCTAATGTTTGTTACAACATACTTATTATTTTTTATGGTTGATAATATAAGATTTTGTTTACTAAAGAAGTATAATTTATATGTAACTTGGACTTAAAATAGAAAGTCAGTTCTAAACAAATCTTGCTTTAAAAGTTATAATTTGGTCAAGCATATAGTAGAAAAGCTTTTGTATACATATATATATAATATGTATAGTATATGTATTTTAGAAAACTTACGAATTTTTGCCTAACTAAAAAATTCATGACATTTTGATTCCACTTGTTTGACTTCATATGAATAGAATGCTGGATTTCTAATTTTAAAAAAATAGATATGCAACAAGCAACAAAGGTTTACTGTATAGCACAGGCAACTATAGTCAATATCATATAATAACCTATAATGGAAAGTAATTTGAAAAATAATATATGTGTATATGTATAATTGAATAACAAAAAATAAGATATCTACTTTTTGAAATTTAAAAAGTTCTAGTTTTATACAATATACTATTATGACTTTTATAAAATATTCTGAATTATATGATATAGATACATTTGGTTACTAAATAAATTACATGAACCAGAATATTCTCTCCACATGAAACTTTATTGACTGAACGAATTCTCAGCCAAGTATAAGTTTTTAGAAAAGTAATACATACTGATCTCACAAGTCTCATACAGAAGAATCTTGAAATCTAGCATGATAGCCTTACATCCAACTTTAGATATTAGATGTGAACTATATAGTTCTTTACTCTCAGATGTGCTTTGTTTGTTTGTTTGTTTTAAATGAAATATTTATTTGCTGATAGGAAGGGACTCCAATATTTTATATATTCAAAATGATGATAATATTTATTGAATAATCAAAGTATATAATTTATATTCTATAGCTTTAAAATCAGATTGTCATGAAGTACATAATACTGTCATGCTCATTTCTTTGAGAAACAGATACACAGGAGGAACCAATAAGCCAGAATTAAACATATTAATTGCCACATAGAACATTCTTATTTCTTAGTTTTAAGATGTGCAAATAGCAGAGACATTCAGTGATCTTCAGGTAATTTAGACTTTCCTTAGAAACTCATTCCTAGTGCACATCTTAGCCCAGGTTTTTGATGTCCATGTTCTCATTTCCACCTTCTTATGTTTTGAATTTTGTACTTGTAACCTTTTTTTTTCCTCATAAGATTATTGAAAATTTTCCTCTTGTTATAAGTCACTCAAATCCCCCTTTTAAGTATGGTTATTTATACCTCATGAGTCAATATAATGAACCCCAAAACATGGTAGAAATGATAGATTAGTAAGATAGTTGGCATTTGCTAACATCCTTTGTCTATTACAGACTTTCAGTGGGTTTTATTTACTTATTTTTTTTGAGTCAAATGTATTTTTAAGAAAAACTGCATTAAGAAAGAGATAGTTACAGAAATCTATATAATTATTTTGTATTTAAAAATTAAATTAAGATACCAAAAATCTCATTTAGCTCAAAGGATTTTATTTTCGTCATAAAAAATTGGCAAGATTAGCTCATAATTTTTTCATTATTCATTCATTCAATTATAAATTTATTAAATACCTTCTTAGTGAATTGCAGAATATATTAAAGTATAACCCTTGCTCTCTCAAGCTAGTTTATGAGATCATAAATGCTCAATATAACTAATAAAGATATAAAACTGCATGTATATACCAAAACTACAATATAAACAGTGCACCATAAAAGTTTGGCAGAGTGTAAAAGAAATGTAGGCTAGAGTGACATTTGGTTTTGTGAAAGAGGTAAAAACTTGAACTGGACTCTGAAGGCTAGAGAGGAATTGCCTGGTTGGAGGAGAAAAAAGAAAAAAGCTTATTTTAGGCAGATGAAGCAATATGGATTTGAGAAGAAAGATGCCATAATTGTTGAATAGTAAAGCAACTATCTTGACAGAAGTGGGACATTTGTATTGTAGTTTAGAGGAAATTAATGTTAGATAAGTTGTATGGAACCAGATAATGGCAAGTCATGGATGTCTGGCCAAAGGGTATCCTACAGACTACATATTCTTCTAATACTTTCCCTTTTAAATTCTCTTGGAGGTTATGAAAAAAAGAAAAAGAGGTACTTCTACACATTGTTTTCTTCTGTGCTAAAACTCCACACATAGTCTTAGAGTGCTTATAGGAATAGCTATTGGTAGGAGAGGAAGATAATTATGACAATTACTGAGTGATCTACTATGCAGATCTTAGATTTGAAGGTTTATAAAATAATATTTTTTAAAGCTTCCCTTATGTCATACAAATCCAGGAGACATTAATCTGTCAGGAAAAAA